TAATCATTTTTATGTCTGTCAGCAAAATAAAAATTCCCCCAAAGGTGATTTTTCCCTATTCTTTTTAAAAATTTTATTTAAAGAGAAAATTTTTAACAAAACAGAAAAAGGGTACAAATAATACAGAATTTCAAAAAAATTCACAGTAAGAAATCACTAGTTAATAGATTACATATTGTCATCTTAGAAATAGTTGTACAAGTTACAATATTAAAGCATACAAAGTGGACATTCAAACAGTGAGACTGCAAACAGTTCTGATCAATGATCTAACAAAAACTTAGTAATATGATTATCTATCTTACACAAACATATATGCAGTTTTATCCTTTAGAGCACTTTCTTTTCCTCTCCTTTTTACAATAACAATTACACATTTTGGGTTTTATTATTCCCACAGTTCTTATTACTTTTTTTGAAGATAATAAAACCAAATGTGACAAAACAAAACAGTCGGTCAAATCAAAAGGATGGACATAGTACATGATATAAAAACAGAATACAAGGTGATCAACAATGGCTACCATAATGCCTCTTGCTACCTTAAAAAGAATTGCCTATATCATCAGGTATAATAAAATTGAACAAAATAGTACAGAACAAAACCAATAAAACCAAAACATTGGAGGCAGTACAGGACTTCAAAAGAAGATAACAGACAAACCAGAATGGGTGTCATAGTGAATCTTATTGCCTTCAAAGTAGTTGCCTATTCCCTCAAACTTGATACTATCAAGCAAAACAGATTAGAGTAAAATCAGTCAAAACAAGATGGTGAGAGCAATACAGGGCTTCAAATCAAGTTAATAGGAAATCAAAAAAGTTACTATAATATATCCTGCTATTTTTTATTTTTCCCTTAATTAAAAAAATAATAATAAATAAATTAATTTTAAATAAAGGAGAATGAGATAAAAGAGGACATAACAACATAACAATACAGGTCAGAACAGGACAATTTAAGCAACATAGTGTTTCACCACAAGATAACCCGACATAATAGTAGTTAGTTACCATAGTGTTCCTTTCCCTGAAATATTTGAGTATAATAACTTTGTATACTATAGCATCAAATATCTCAAGACACGGTGTGAAACCAAACATATCAAGTCAATGGTGTGAAACCATTCAAGAGAATGAAAGTATTACAGGATATTTAGAACCATTAGCTGGTTCTAAATACCCTGTAAATATAGAAACAATTGTTTCTATATTATCTTCTTGCCTATAAAAATTTTGTTTATACTATCACATATAATAAAATCCATTAAGATACAACATGATAAAAACAATGGAGACAGAAGAACAGCAGCTTGATGGGACTTCAAAACAAGATGATATTAAATCAGCACTGGCTATTATGATATCTTGTTTTCTCTGCTTTACATTTCATCACCAGAGAGAAGAAACACAAAGTCACTTCCTTTGCAGAGCCTTGTGGATAGAGTCCAATAAAATCCATTTGAAAAGAATACAATTTTAACCAAATCCCACTAGGCCAGCCAATCATCTGACATTATTTTTGGACCTACTTGGTGGCAGTATTTTTTTCTTTCAGCTCTCTAGGGTTTATCCCATGCAATAGTGACTAAGGCTTGGAAGGTAGAAATTAGAACAGAAGAGACTTTGAAGGTCCCTTGAGATCCTTCCTCTGTGGGCTTATCCTCTAAGATTCCCAGGACAAATACTCCTCCCTCAGGACACCTCTCCTAGAGGAAGCAGGAGGGAAACTGGGTGGTTAATTGAAGGTTGATAAGTAGCTTTAGCAGAAATTATAAGTTACACTCCCTACACCTTAGGGTTCTCTTCTTCAGAGGTTGCACTTTGAGATTAATAGATCAGAGACTGGTAAATAGCAGTAAGAATTTGATCTGTGATTCTTCTTGAATCTGAGAAGTGGTAAGAATATAGGGAGTTTATTTTTAGGCTCTGTGTAAGGAACCTCAGGACACACTCACTCACTACACAACTGATCACAAATGCAGGCAATATTAATAATGGAGATGAAATTTCTGTTTTCCTTTCATCAATACAGTGGCTTGTATATGGATATACATGAGGAAAATTTGGAAGATAGGCTTTGGCATGGATGAACAAGAGAAAGAAAGAAACAATAAGAAAGAGAGAAAAAGAAGGAATGATTGCATGTGTTTTTTAAAGACTAACATCCCTTCAGAGTCACTTATTTAGTGTTTAATGGCTGCATAGGAAATGTTTAGATAATTCATGTCCTCTGAAACAATAAGAATGTACCAAAGTTGAAAAGATCGAGTGAAGAAAGATCATCAAGGAGGGAAACATATAGGAGGCTGAGATCAGAGTAAACAAAGTCACTTTTCACATCCCGACAAATATACATTTACCTTCCTGCCTGGACTCTGAGGTACGGTAGACTGCTCTTGGGTTGGCTCATGGCTTCTTGGTAAATTATCCAGTTCATCTCTAGCTGCAGTCTGGGATAGGTGCATTGCATCCCACTGCTGCATCATAGATTACAAACCACTTTTGTAAAGATAACCCATTCCCATGAGTTTTCTGTTGAGTTTCCTTCCCTGGTAAATAGTATCTATCAGTTTCTCATCTGCCTGAATGATAATTCTACCAGTAGAAGGATCATTTTCCCTCTGCATTCATATGTATCCTGTGGTGCTTCTCCTGGTTTGTTACTTTCATTTTTGCTAGTAATGTTTGTACTCAATTCCACATCTTTGTCCAAAGCATCAGCATTCAGAGCACAACAAAGAAACTGTTAGGAATCTTTCAATCCTATGCATATAAAAATGTATATTCCTCTGGTTCTTCTCTGAATGGATTTTGTCTTTAATTGTAGTGGAAAAGGAAGGGACATTCATAGAGCATGATGCAAGCATTAGCCTTAGGATTTTGCATACATCATAACATTTCATTATTCAATGGACGTATGGAGTATAATTATATGTTGTTCAAATATTATTGTCTTTTGGAGATTGCAAAGGTTAAGAAATCTGCTTTGCAACAAAAGTGCCACATCCAACTCAGCTGATGAGTCAAGTTTATCTTGCTCCAGAGCTTGTGGGATTTTTTCCTGTCTCGTGTGATCTTTAGTAGGTGGAAGAAGAGGAATGGGGAGGAGGAAATGTTCACTCTTTGGGTACTGGAAAAAGGATATGAGCCTAACACTTCTAATGTTGTGAACCAACCAGACTCCACATGTATGTTGGGGTGACGATGGCTTTTAGTAATTAGAATGGGGTCTCTGTAGTTACATTTGAAAAACCAGAAATTTTGAAACCCGCCATTGGTTTGTTGTTCTGCTGAATATTTTCTCTTGGCTAGAAGGGCATTGGATGAGCCTCTCTAATTCTCTGTTTGTTTGTTTGTTTGTTTGTTTGATTTAATATCCTCTTGTTTTGAAGTCTCATCAAGCTTTTGTTCTTCTGTCTCCATCCATTTGAATGTGTTGTATCTTATTGGATTTTATTATATGTGATAATATAAACAAAAGCTTTTATAGACAAGGAGATTATACAGAAACCATTGTTCATTTTCTGTTAGTTGATTCTAAATACCCTGTAATACTGTCGTTCTCTTGAACGGTTTTACATTGTCTTGATATGTTTGATGCTACAGTATACGAAGCTATACCCAAAGGTTTTAAAGGAAGAGACACCATGGTAACCACCACCACGTCGAGATTATCTTGTGGTGAAACACTAGTTTGCTTAGATGGCTATGTTTTGACCTGCCCTGTTTTGTTGCTATGCCCTCCTTTTTATCTCAATCTCCTTTTTATTATCCACTTTTTCATTTTTATCCTTTTAATTAAGGGCAAAAATAAATAAGAAATAGCAGGATATATTATAGTAACCCACTTCGACTTACCATCAACCTGATTTGAAACTCTGTATCGCTCCCACCATCCTGCCCTGACTGATCTTCCTCTATTCTGTTATGCTTGATAGTACCAAGCATACTGAAAGTACAGGCAACAACTATGAAGACAACAAGATTCATCGTGACATCCATTCTGGCTGACCACTACCCTCCCTTGAAGTCCTCCAATGTCTCCAATGTCCCGGTTTCACTGGTCCTACTCTCCACTGTTTTGTCCAACTTTACTATAACCGACGATATAGGCAATTCTTTTTAAGACAACAAGAGGCATTATGGCAACCATTGTTGATCACCCTGCACTCTGCTTTTACATTACGTATTATGTCCATCCTTTTGATTTGAATGACTCTGTCCTGGTATGTCACATTTGATTTTACTTTCTTCAAAAAAAAAAAAGTAATAAGAACTGTGGGAGCAATAAAACCCAAAATGTGCAAGTGTCATTGCACAACAGAAAGGAAAAGAAAGTTCTCTAAAAGATATAACTGCATATATATTTAAGTGTATAAGATAGATAACCATATTACTGAGTTTTGTTGGATCATTGATCAAAACTGTCTGCAGTCTCACTGCTTGAAAATCCCCTCTATAAGCTTTAATTTTGTTTTTTTTTTTCTTTTTTTTTTTATTTAAGAGGAAAAAGAGAAAAACACAAAACAAACCAAAGCGGCGTAAGGGTACACGCAATACAGAACTACAAAACAAAACAAAACAAAACAAAACAAAACAAAAAACCATAACAGTAAGAAATTACCTGCTAGTAGATTACACACTATTTTCTTGAAAATAGTTCCTCAAATCACAGTATCAAAGAACACAAGGTGGACATTCAAACAGGGAGACTGCAAACAGCTGTGTTCAATGTTCCAAAAACATTGATAAAGTCAGCTATTTAACACCCCCAAACACACTTGCTGTTATATCCGTTAGAGCTCCTTTTCTTTTTTTTTTTCCCTCTCTTTTTTACAACAAAATTCACACATCTTGGATTTCATTACTCCTTAGTGCTCATCACTTTCTTTGGGTGGGGGGGAAGAATACAGTCAAATATGGCAAAACAAAGCTGTCAGTCAATACCAAGGATAGACGTAGCACATGGTGCAGAACAGAGTACAAGTTTATCAACAATGGTCATCAACGTTGTCCCCTGTTTCCCCAAAAAGAACTGTCCATCTCATCAGATATCATAAAGTTGGACAAAACAGCAGAGAACAAGACCAACAAAACCCAGGCATTGTAAACATTACAGGACCCCCAAAGAAGACAATAGTCAAACCAGAATGGGTATCCCAGTGAATCCCACTGTCCTCAAAGCAGCTGTCTATGTCTTCAAACTTGATACTATCATATAGAATGGAACAGAGTCTAATCAGCCAAAACAAGATCGTGGGAGCACCACATGACCTCAAAACAAGTTAATAGGAAATCGAAAAGAGTTACCATTTATACATCCTAATTTCTTTGAATTTTTTCTTTAATTAAGACAAACATAAGAAATGACTAAATAATTTTTTTTGAAACAATAAGGGGGAGATTGAGATAAAACAGGACATAACAACATAACAATAGAGGTCACAGCATGACTGTTTCAACAACCTAGTACTTCACCACCATATAACCCGACCCAATAGTTGTTACCATAGTGTCCCTTTCCTTGAAATATCTGGGTAAAACTTCATATACTCTAGCTTCAAATATTTTCATATCAAGAAGCCCAGAATAAAGCCTTTCTAATTAATGAGTGAAAACTTTATAAGGCTTCAAGGCCACCTAATGGGGAATCATGATTACCACATATTTTTATATATTTGAATCATTACTTACATTAGGGAAACTATTCGGTATTCACACATGCGAGATTGATTTATTTCACTTATGAGTATGGTCTCAAGCTGTGCCCATTTATTGATAAATATCTCAATGTGATCCTTCTTTATAGCTGAATAATACTCCATTGTATAGAAATACCACAACTTTTTTATCCATTCCTCAGTTGATGGGCACTTGGGTTGTTTCCAAGATCTGGCGATTACAAATTGTGCTGCTATAAACATAGGTGCACATATATCACTGTGGTATGATGCTTTCAGTTCTTCTGGGAATATGCCTAGAAGTGGAATAGCTGGAATAAATGGGATTTCCAGTCCCAACTTTTTGAGAAATCTCCAGACAGATCTCCACAAAGGCTGTACCAGTCTACACTCCCACCAGCAGTGCAGGAGAGTTCCTTTTTCCCCACAGCCTCTCCAGCATTTGTTGTCGGTTTTCTTGATCCTGGCCATTCTTTCAGGAGTGAGATGGTATCTCAGTGTGGTTTTAATTTGCATTTCTCTAATGACCAATGATGATGAGCATTTTTTCATGTATTTATTTGCCATTTGCATTTCTTCATCTGAGAATTGCATATTCATCTCAGATGCCCATTTTTGGATTGGATCTTTGAATTTTGGAGGTCTGAGTTTCTTTAATTCTTTGTATGTTTTAGACAAGAGGCCCTTGTCTGAGAGAGAGTTCACTAAAATCTTTTCCCAGTTTGTGGGTTTTCTTTTCACTATGCTGGAGATTTCTTTTGACATGCAGAAACTTTTTAATAAGAAGTGGTCCCAGTTATTGATTCTGGGAAGTATTTCCCGTGCGGTTTGAGTCCTGTTCATGAATTCTTTACCTACTCCTATATATCCAAGGTTTCTACCTATTTTGTCTTCCAATAGATTTAGTGTTTCTGTTTTAATATTCAGATCTTTGACCCATTTAGATTTTAATTTAGTACATGGTGATAGACATGGGTCTAGCTTTAGTTTTCGGCAAATGGAGAGCCAGTTTTTCCAGCACCATTTATTAAAGAGACTGTCGTTCTTCCAGTGAACCTGCTTGACTCCTTTATCAAAAATAAGGTGGTTGAGTGTGTTCGTAGTTGTGGTTGTATCTTCTAATCTATTCCACTGATCTTCAGCTCTGTTTTGATTCCAATACCATGTTGATTTTACTACTGTTGCTTTGTAGTATAACTTCAAGTCAGGGATTGTGATGCCTCCTGCCTTGCCTTTGCTGCTTAGAATTGCCTTTGCTATTCTAGGTCTCTTCTGGTTCCAGATGAAATTTAGGAGTGATTTCTCTAGATCTATAAGGTATGTTGATGGTATTGCTATTGGGATTGCATTGAATCTGTATAACAGTTTTGGGAGAATGGCCATTTTCACAATGTTTGTTCTTCCTATCCATGAGCAAGGGATGTCTTTCCATTTTCTGAGATCATCTTCAATTTCCTTTTTCAGTGTATTATAATTTTCACTGTATAAGTCTTTCACTTCTTTCGTAAGAGTAATTCCTAAATATTTCATTTTTTTGCTTGCTAATGTGAATAGTCCAGTTTCTCTTATTTCCCTCTCTGTAATTTTGTTGTTCGTGTATAGGAATGCTATTGATTTCTGAGTATTGATTTTGTATCCAGCCACATTACTGAATTTATTTATTGTATCTAAGAGTATTTCAATGGAGTTTAGGGGGTCTTCTATGTAGAGTATCATGTCATCTGCAAACAATGATAATTTAACTTCTTCTTTTCCTATCTTTACCCCTTTTATTTCTCTTTCTTGCCTAATTGCTCTGGCTAGTACTTCCAGTACTATATTAAATAGGAGTGGTGATAAAGGACATCCTTGTCTTGTATCCGATTTTAAAGTAAAGGCTTTCAATTTTTGGCCATTTAGTATGATGCTGGCTGTTGGTTTGTCATAAATGGCCTTTATTATATTGAGGTAAAGACCATTTATTCCAATTTTCTGTAAAGTTCTTATCATGAATAAGTGTTGGACCATATCGAAGGCTTTTTCTGCATCTATAGAGATGATCATGTGATTCTTATTTTTGGCTTTATTGATATGGTGGATTACATTTATTGATTTGCGTATGTTGAACCATCCTTGCATTCCTGGGATGAATCCCACCTGGTCATGGTGTATAATCTTCTTGATGATTTGCTGGATCCTATTTGCCAATATTTTATTGAGGATTTTTGCATCTGTGTTCATTAGGGAGATCGGTCTATAGTTCTCTTTTATAGTTGGGTCTTTCTCAGGTTTTGGTACTAGAGTAATATTTGCTTCCAGGAATGACTTAGGAAGGATTGCTTCCCTTTCAATTTCATTGAATAGTTTGAGGAGTGTCGGCATTAGGTCTTCTTTATATTTCTTGTAGAATTTTGCAGTGAATCCATCTGGGCCTGGGCTCTTCTTGGTGGGCAAGGACCCAATTACATTCTCAATTTCATTAGCAGAGATTGGGTTATTCAACAGTTTTATATCCTCTTGATCTAGCTTTGGTACTTCATATGCTTCTAAGAATCTGTCTATTTCTTCTGTGTTATCAAACTTTTGAGAGTAGAGGTTTTCGAAATAGGTGTTGATGATCCTCTGTATTTCTATTGGGTCTGTAGTGATTTCTCCTTTTTCATTTCTTATTGCATGAATTTGAGCTTTTTCTTTCCTTTTTTTAATAAGGTTGGCTAGGGGCTTATCGATTTTATTTATTCTTTCAAAGAACCAACTCTTTGATTCGTTGATTCTTTGGATTGTTTTCTTAGTCTCTATTGCATTGATTTCTGCTCTGATTCTTATAATTTCCTCTCTTCTTTTGGCTTTGGGCTTGACTTGCTCTTCTTTTTCTAGCTGTTTGAGGTGTAGCATCAAGTTATTTACTTGTATTCGTTCTGTTTTCCTGATGTGGGAACTCAGTGCAATAAATTTTCCTCTCAGAACGGCTTTCATTGCATCCCACAGATTCCGGTAAGTTGTATCTGCATTTTCATTTTCTTTTAGGTATTGCTTAATTTCTTCTTTAATTTCTTCTGTGACCCACTGATTACTCAAGAGTGTGTTATTTAGTTTCCATGTGTTTGCGGAATTTTTGCAGTATCCTTTGTCATTAATTTCTAATTTCAGAGCGCTATGATCTGATAATATGCAAGGGATGATTTCAACTCTTTTGCATTTGCTTAAATATGTTCTGTGAGCTAATATATGGTCTATTTTAGAAAATGATCCATGTACTGCTGAGAAGAATGTGTATTCTGATGTTGTTGGGTGGAACATTCTGTATATGTCTATCAAACCCATTTGTTCACAGGTGTGATTCAGTTCTGTTATTTCTTTGCTCATTTTCTGTCTGGTTGATCTGTCCCTTGGTGTCAGTGGTGTATTAAGGTCTCCTGTTACAATTGTGTTACTGATAATTTGAGTTTTCATTTCTGTTAATAATTGTTTTATATAACTGGGTGCTCTGGAGTTTGGTGCGTATATATTTAAGATAGTTATCTCTTCCTCTTGGAGTTTTCCCCTTACGAGTATGTAGTGACCTTCTTTGTCCTTTATGGTCATTGTTGGTTTAAAGTTCACGTTGTCTGCAAACAGAATGGCTACTCCTGCCTTTTTTTGGATTCCTGCTGCATGAAGAATTGTTTTCCATCCTTTGACTTTCAGTCTGTGAGTATCTTTCTGGGTTAGATGGGTTTCCTGTAAACAGCATATGGTTGGATTTTGTTTCTTGATCCATTCTGCTAGTCTGTTTCTTTTGATTGGTGCATTGAGACCATTTACATTAATGGTTATTACTGTTAAATGCTGGTTAATTGTAGGAATGTTATCTCTCTGCTGTTGCATCTTTATCTTTCGGTTCTGTTTAATTATTTGCTTTGCTTAGTGGTTTTTTCCTTTGTGTATCTAAACTGTGTTTCAATATTTTTTGCAGGGTTGGTTTGGTGTTCATGAAGTTCTTCAGCTGTTCTTTGTCATGGAAGCATCGTATTGCACCATCTATTTTGAATGATAGTTTTGCAGGATATATCAGTCTTGGTTGGAAATCATTTTGCTTTAGGATCTGGAATACTTCACTCCATGCTCTTCTTGACTTTATCGTTTGTGCTGAGAAGTCTGCTGTGATTCTGATAGGTTTTCCTTTATAAGTGATTTGTCTTTTCTCTCTGACAGCTTTTAATAATCTATTCTTGTGTTGGATTTCTGGGATGGTGACTATTATATGTCTGGGTGTAGTTTTATTTTGGTTATGACTGTTTGGAGTTCTATATGCTTCACTGATCCTGATGTCAGTTTCTGATCTCATGCTTGGGAAATTTTCAGCTCTTACTTCTCTAAATATCCTCCTGACACCCTTCATGTTGTCTCCCTCTCTTTCATTAATCCCTATCATTCTTATGTTATTCTTCTTTGCATCGTCTTGCAGTTGTTGAATTGTTGTTTCCTGGTTCCTTGTTATTTTCAAAAGATCTTTCCTTTCCTGTTCACTAGCTGCAATCCTGTCTTCAAGGTCTGAAATTCTATCTTCACTTTCATTAAGGCGGTTTTTACAACTTTCAGTGGAGTTTTTTATTTCCTGTATATCTCTGTGCATCTGCATTATGTATTCTGTTTGTTTCTTATATTGCTCGTCTAGGGATTCTATCTTTTTGTTTAGTTCCTCCAATTTTTTATCTGTGTTTTCTTTAGATATATTTAGAATATCTTTCATTTCTTTTATCATTTCTTCTTTTATCTGGGAGATTATTTCGAGTTTGAATTTCTTTAAAGCTTCCTGGAGTTGCTTGTCAATTTCAGTGGCTATTGTGTCCGATATATGAGGTGGATGGGATATATTTTCTTCTATATACATCGCTCCTAGGGTTTCTTGAGATGGGCTGGAGGTTTGAGGTTGTAATTTGGTCTTTCGTTTTGTCATTTTCCTATATTTCTGTGTTTCAAGTGTTACTTCAAAGCTTCCTCAGGATCTGTTGAAAATCCCCTTCTATGTTTGGAGCTACTGGGACTCTGGCGCCGCGCTACTCCAAGCCATTAGGCCTACAGAACCAGTGGCCCTCCTCTGCCTGCTCAGAACTCCGCAGTTCCAGACAAGCTGGACCTCAGGGACACTGTGCGCCCACCTGCCCCTTGGAAGCTCCACAGTTCTTCAATCGCAGCCGGGTTAGGGTACTCACCACAGGCCGCAGTGCTTCAGGAACCTGTGGACCCTCCCTGGTTGCAGAGATATCCACAGTCCTCCAGACACGCAGAGAGGCCAGTGAGGGCACCCCAGATCTGCCCAGCTCCTCCTCTGCAGACCTGTGGCCAGGCGCGGCAGCTAAACAGGCTGGGCTAGGCTGGTAGTGTGGGCCAGCCCACCTATCGGGAGCTCAGCAGGTCTCCAAATGAAGCCGGGAATGGGGAGGCTGATGTGGAAGCCTTAAACCCACCTCTCTCCTTCACTGCACCTGGAAGCCTGAGGGAACTCCAGCAGTCTGGGCGCAGAAATCCAGAGTCCTCCAGACACGCAGAGAGGCCAGTGAGGGCACCCCAGATCTGCCCAGCTCCTCCTCTGCAGACCTATGGCCAGGCGCGGCTGCTAAACAGGCTGGGCTAGGCTGGTTGTGTGGGCCAGCCCACCTATCGGGAGCTCAGCAGGTCTCCAAATGAAGCCTGGAATGGGGAGGCTGATGTGGAAGCCTCAAACCCACCTCTCGCCTTCACTGCACCTGGAAGCCTGAGGGAACTCCAGCAGTCTGGGCGCAGAAATCCAGAGTCCTCCAGACACGCAGAGAGGCCAGTGAGGGCACCCCAGATCTGCCCAGCTCCTCCTCTGCAGACCTGTGGCCAGGCGCGGCAGCTAAATAGGCTGGGCTAGGCTGGTAGTGTGGGCCAGCCCACCTATCGGGAGCTCAGCAGGTCTCCAAATGAAGCCGGGAATGGGGAGGCTGATGTGGAAGCCTTAAACCCACCTCTCTCCTTCACTGCACCTGGAAGCCTGAGGGAACTCCAGCAGTCTGGGCCCAGAAATCCAGAGTCCTCCAGACACGCAGAGAGGCCAGTGAGGGCACCCCAGATCTGCCCAGCTCCTCCTCTGCAGACCTGTGGCCAGGCGCGGCAGCTAAACAGGCTGGGCTAGGCTGGTAGTGTGGGCCAGCCCACCTATTGGGAGCTCAGCAGGTCTCCAAATGAAGCCGGGAATGGGGAAGCTGATGTGGAAGCCTTAAACCCACCTCTCTCCTTCACTGCACCTGGAAGCCTGAGGGAACTCCAGCAGTCTGGGCGCAGAAATCCAGAGTCCTCCAGACACGCAGAGAGGCCAGTGAGGGCACCCCAGATCTGCCCAGCTCCTCCTCTGCAGACCTATGGCCAGGCGCGGCTGCTAAACAGGCTGGGCTAGGCTGGTTGTGTGGGCCAGCCCACCTATCGGGAGCTCAGCAGGTCTCCAAATGAAGCCTGGAATGGGGAGGCTGATGTGGAAGCCTCAAACCCACCTCTCGCCTTCACTGCACCTGGAAGCCTGAGGGAACTCCAGCAGTCTGGGCGCAGAAATCCAGAGTCCTCCAGACACGCAGAGAGGCCAGTGAGGGCACCCCAGATCTGCCCAGCTCCTCCTCTGCAGACCTGTGGCCAGGCGCGGCAGCTAAATAGGCTGGGCTAGGCTGGTAGTGTGGGCCAGCCCACCTATTGGGAGCTCAGCAGGTCTCCAAATGAAGCCTGGAATGGGGAGGCTGATGTGGAAGCTTTAAACCCACCTCTCTCCTTCACTGCACCTGGAAGCCTGAGGGAACTCCAGCAGTCTGGGCGCAGAAATCCAGAGTCCTCCAGACACGCAGAGAGGCCAGTGAGGGCACCCCAGATCTGCCCAGCTCCTCCTCTGCAGACCTGTGGCCAGGCGCGGCAGCTAAACAGGCTGGGCTAGGCTGGTAGTGTGGGCCAGCCCACATATTGGGAGCTCAGCAGGTCTCCAAATGAAGCCTGGAATGGGGAGGCTGATGTGGAAGCCTTAAACCCACCTCTCTCCTTCACTGCACCTGGAAGCCTGAGGGAACTCCAGCAGTCTGGGCGCAGAAATCCAGAGTCCTCCAGACACGCAGAGAGGCCAGTGAGGGCACCCGAGATCTGCCCAGCTCCTCCTCTGCAGACCTGTGGCCAGGCGCGCTGTTTGTTTGTTTGTTTAAGAATTATGTGAAGAGTTTTTAAGACAGGGAGTAATACACTTTCCTTCAAATGTCTATACCAAAATAGTAGCTTCATTTTCCTCTTTGTTAGGTAGGAAATGACTCTGTTGAGTGATTGCACTGTTCTGTTATATGCAGGGCAATTTTGTAGGAGGACACTTGGAATTTTGTTGCATACTGGCATCCATACAATTTCGGGTAATTATGAATTAATTCCAACACTAATATATCAGTTTTCTTTTATTGCTTTAGCAAATTACCATAAATTTTGCAGCTTAAAAGTATCCCACAAATATCTAAATTTATGGTTCTGGAATTCAGAAGCCTAAAGTGGGCCTCAATGTGCTAAAATAAAAATCTTGGCATCCTGGAAGTGTTAGGGCAGAATGCACTCCCCTGCCTTTCCCAGCTTCTAGCAGCCATTTTTATGGCTTGGCTCATGGCCCTTTCTCCAGTTACTAAGCCAGCCATACAGCACCTTCAAATCTCTGACTATGGCTCTTCAGCATCCACTTCCACATTTATGAATTTATGATTACTTAGAGCCAACCAAAAAAATCCAGGATAATCTTTTTATTTAAAAGTCAATTGGATTAGCAAGCTTAGTTCTATCTGCAGCCTAAATTTCCCCTTCTTGTATACAGTAACATAATTACAGGTTTTAGAGACAAAGATGTGGATGTCGTTGAGGAGCATTATTCTTGTAATAATTGACTAATAGGTGATGTGTTTTAAAACAACAAGGGAGTTCAAGAAGAAGCTAAAAACTTGATATGCAGCTAAAATCTCATCTTTTGGCATCTTTTGATGATAGTATTCATAAATATGCATGGAATGAATTTTATTACATAGCCAAAGAGGAAAGGAGAGCTACATTAGTAAAGAATTAGAAAAATACATACTCTGAAACAATAGATTTAATTTAAGATGATACTGAATTCTCACTTAATCTGTTCTATGTTGACAGTAGACAACAGAGTATAACTAAATTTGCATAAAATATTTTCTAGGAACAGTTGGGCTTTTTTTCCTCAATGTGAAGAGATCAAGAAAACCCATTGCTGCTAAGAAAAGGGTCTAAATGACAACAAATGGAAATGTGTCTTTTAGTGAAGTTGAAACAGAGAAGCCAGCAAGAATAGTGGTGGTAGAAGAAACAAATTGGAAATGTGACTCTCTAAGCCATATTAGTGTTGTTACATTCATCTTAAAATCAGTGAGAATCCTTTAAAAAATTTAAACAGGACAAATCATAGGTTATAAAAAAGATTTTTTGACTGCAATAAAGATGCAATCCAGAATTTATAGGGAGGGCTTCTCTATTTAATTGAAACAAAAATATGCATACTGGTGACTATATGGGGAGGAAAACAATGTTACTCTGTGCATCGTTTTAGTTGAAAGAGTTATCTCTCATTTGGAATCTAACAGTGGATGTTGATGTCAAATTCTCTAATAGAACTTCTATGGGCAATAACTTAGCTGAAACTAGTCCTCACTGTCACAGGAATTTTACTTTGTGTAATAATTCCATTTTGTTGACAAACCTCAAAATAATGGTTTTCATTATTATTATCCATCAATAGTTTTCTAGTTTGTTTATATACCAGCATATAAGGAGAAATATTAAAAAATTAAATTTTCCACATTTTTGAAATAGAACATTGACTTTTTAAAATAAGATTGCTAAAACTTATTTCCACCCATAATACTGTCAACCATTCTCACCCAATCAGTGAGAAGAGAAGAATGAGGCCTGAGAACCAGAGCAGCATATCTGAGTTCCTCCTCCTGGGGCTCCCCATCGGGCCAGAGCAGCAGGCTGCGTTCTTCCCCCTGTTTCTGATCATGTACCTGACCACAGTGCTGGGGAACCTGCTCATCATCCTGCTCATCAGGCTGGACTCCCGCCTCCACACCCCCATGTACTTCTTCCTCGGCCACTTGGCCTTCACGGATGTCTCTTTCTCATCTGTCACTGTCCCAAAGATGTTGATGGACATGCGGACTAATCTTACGTCCATCCCTTTTGCAGGGTGCATTTCCCAGATGTATTTTTTCATATTTTTTACTGACTTGGATAGCTTCCTTATCACATCAATGGCATATGACCGATACGTGGCCATCTGCCACCCTCTTCACTACACCACCATCATGAGGGAAGAGCTCTGTATTTTATTGGTGGCTATATCCTGGGTCCTGTCTTGTGCCAGCTCCCTCTCTCACACCCTTCTCCTGACCCGGCTGTCTTTCTGTGCTGCCAACACCGTTCCTCACTTCTTCTGTGACCTTGCTGCCCTGCTCAAGCTTTCCTGCTCAGACATCTTTCTCAATGAGTTGGTCATGTTTACAATAGGAGTGGTGGTAATTACTCTGCCATTTATGTGCATTCTGGTATCTTATGGCTACATTGGGGCCACCCTCCTCAGGGTGCCTTCAGCCAAGAAGGTCTGTAAAGCATTGTCCACATGTGGCTCCCACCTCTCTGTGGTTTCTCTGTACTACGGGGCAATATTTGGACAGTACCTTTTCCCAACAGTAAGCAGTTCTGCCAACAAAGATATCATTGTAGCTATCATGTACACAGTGGTCACACCCATGCTGAACCCCTTTATCTACAGTCTCAGGAACAGGGACATGAAAGAAGCCCTTGCAAAATGCCTCAATAGAGTATTTTTCTCACAGTAATAACAGCAAAGTAACTGTACTCTTCTTTCTATCAGAAGTTCATTTATTTGATTTCCTATTCAAATGTGTTTCAAAACCTTTATGTCACCTTAATTAATGATGCCATATTAGATTTTTTTGATAAATATTTGTTGAACAGACTTTCACTATCTTATTAGCAATTCTCTTACTTATACATAGGTTTTTATTTTTTACTTTTAATTAACACAAAATGTGTAGTGTTTACGGGATACAGTGTGATATTTTATATGTATATAATGTGTTAATCAAATTAGAGTTTGTTAGTATTTCTATCCCTTTATCATCTTTGGAACATTCAAGATCATCTCCTCTAGTTTTTCATAAAACACATCATTACCGTGAACTATAGTCATACTACTGCTACAGAACACTGAATTCAATTCTTAACATTTAATTCTGTTTTGGTATCTATTTATCAACTTTTGTCTAGATTTTCTTCATCCTTTGCTTCCTGGTCTCTAGTAATTACTATTCTACTTTAAAACTGACCTTTATTTTAAACAAATTTCTTTTGATCAGAATATACTAAATTAGTTTTATTGCTTATTTTTGAAAACATACATTTTGTGCATTGTATTTAAAGATAATACTTTAAAATTCAGTCCTGGAAATTGTGAAAAGCACATTTGTAACACCTTACAGGAATTCTAGTAGTAGATAGAGTAAAATATGACACAGCTATTTATAGATTAAAAACTGGTGGTCAACTTAATGCCAGTGGAGGTTAATCACCATGGTGCTGAGCATAGATGTTTCACCTGAGGAAAGTTGCCAGCATACATAGAGACATGTAGAAGGAGAAGGAAGGCATTGAGGAATTAAGGCGTTGCGGCATTATGGGTTCTTCTATGTGTTGCTGTTTGAGCCATTCGTTCTCCTGGAGACACTGGTACTCACATTGAGCATTGCTTCCTGGCTCCAGAGGAGAAGATGTATGTTGCTTAATCTCCAAGACAAACTGATCACTCTGGCTTCCTGGCATGTACTCCGCTGCACTTATTGTTGGAGAAGTTTGGGGCCTCTGTGTCACTGAGGATGGCTGTGGTACTTTTCAGGGCAGCCTTGGTTTTTATTATGAGCATGACTTCTCAGCTTCAGCATAGGACCCTCATGCCACCAGCACAGCTCCTTCACCCTGCTGGCATAGAATTTCTAGCTTCCACCACTGACCTTTGGGCCTTCCCAGCTCAGATTTATAAAAGAGACTAGGGAGAGTTCTTCTTATGGGTTCTAGACCTCCAGTTGTACTCATGGGAAGCACTGTCATGAGCCCTAGGTCTTCATCTGCACTCATGTAGGATGTTGTTTGGGATTCAGGCCTTTGGTTGAATATTCTATGATTTGGTGTTGTGGATAGATTTCCTGCACTTTGTGTTAACTCTGGGTGACCATGTTAATATTATTATCTATACAGATAATAAATATAAAATACTATTATAAATTCCATGTCCTAATTTTAATTGTTCTCCTCACAACCCCTGGCTATAACACAGCTTAAATTATTTTTGTATTAGAAAAAGTGATTTGTGTTGATAATTTCAGATTAATTCTGGCTTCAATACTTGCCTTTTTCAATCTTTTTTCAAGATACTTTCCAATAAGGGTCCCCAATCCTGAGAATACTGATCCAGGAAAGGTAAATGCAAAGGAGAATGAGGACAAAAAAACATGCAATATCAGGCATGGCACCAATCGACATAAAGCAATATCTCCAAGACCTCGGAGACAAGTTCAAAAGTGAAGTATTTAACCAAGTAAAGCAAGATATAAGTAGAATAGTTAAAGAAATGCTAAGCACTTCCCAAGAAAAAACAGATGGTGGAATGGAAAAACAGAAAAAAAGGGAAGAATTGTTTGATGGAGAAAATAGAGAAAATGTAGAATACATGAAGTAGGTTCAAAGAGATTACCAGGAAACTAAAAACTCTATTGAAAGCTGGCATAACAGCTTGAAAGAAACTAAGGATAGATTATCTGAACTGGAGGACAGATTTGTAATGTGGGAGTATGAAAGGAAAAACTTAAAAATAACAAGGAAACAAGCAATAACAATACAAAGGCTAGAAGATGATAAGAGGATCTATAACTTAACAGTTAAGAATGTAAAGGGAGAAGCAAGGATACAAACAGATGAACTGTAAAGGCTATTCACAGAAATAATCAAGGAGAACTTCCCTAATATGGGAAAAGGTAAAGATACTCAGATCTATGAGGCATACAGGACCCCAGCCACCTACACCCAAATAGAACTACACCCAGGCATATAGTAATCAAAATTCCAGAAATCCAATATAAGAACAGAATATTAAAAGCTGTCAGAGACAAGAAACAGATCACTTGCAAGAGGACACCTATCAGAATTACAGCAGATTTCTCAGCATAAACCATCAAAACACAAAGAGCGTGTGGTAAAATAATTCAAGCTTTGAAAGATAATAACCTCCAGCCAAGACTGATATATCCTGCACAACTGTCCCTAGAAATTAATGGAGAAACAAAGTGCTTCCAAGATAAAGAGGAACTGGGGGAATTCGCAACCACCAATTCAACTCTACAGAGAATACTGCAAGACATTCTAAAAGAGAAAAATACTAAGATTCTAGAAACAGTGGCAGAGAGACCACTGAATGGAGCAGACAGTGAAATGAAGAAGACAAATTGACAACTAATGACAGAAAAAGAGCTCAACAGAAATGAGGCAGAGAAGGTTGGATGGTATGAACAGCTATTTTGGAGAAAACAAGACATCATAATAGCTAGTGCTTTTTAAATATCATCTTATTTTGAAGTCCCATCAAGTTTTTGTTCTTCTGTCTCCATTGGTCTTAACATGTTAAAATCTTATTGGATTTTATTATATGTGATAATATAAACAAAAACTTTTATAGACAAGGAGATTATACAGAAACCATTGTTCATTTTCTGTTAGTTGGTTCTAAATACCCTGTAATACTGTCATTTTCTTGAACAGTTTTACATTGTATGGATATGTTTGATGCTATAGTATACAAAGTTATACTCAAAGATTTCAAGGAAAGAAACACTCTGGTAACTACTTTTATGTCAGAATATCTTGTGGTGAAACACTATTTTGCTTACATGATTATGTTCTGACCTGTGCTGTTTTGTTGTTATGTCCTCTTTTATCTCAATCTTCTTTTTTATTATTTATTGTTTCATTTTTATCTTTTTAATTAAGGGAAAAAATAAATAAAAAATAGCAGGATATATTATAGTAACCCACTTTGATTTCCTATTAACTTGATTTGAAACCCTGTATTGCTCTCACCATCTTGTTTTGATTGATTTTACTCTATTCTGCTTTGCTTGATAGTATCAAGTTTGAGAGTATAGGTAACAACTGTGAAGACAATAAGATTCACTTGATGCCCATTCTGGTTTGACTATTATCTTCTTTTGAAGTCCTGTAATGTCTCCAATGTTTTGGTTTTATTGGTTTTGTTCTTTACTGTTTTGTTCGATTTTATTATAACTGATGATATAGGCAATTCTTTTTAAGATAACAAGAGGCATTATGGTAACCATTGTTGATCACCTTGTATTCTGTTTTTACAATATGTACTATGTCCATTTTTGATTTGACTGACTCTGTTTTGTTATGTCACATTTGGTTTTATTCTCTTCAAAAAAGTAATAAGAACTGTGGGAGTAATAAAACCCAAAGTGTGTAATGGTCATTGTAAAAAAGAGAGGAAAAAAAAGTGCTCTAAAGGATATAACTGCATGTATATTTAAATGTATAAGATAGATAACCATATTACTGAGTTTTTGTTAGATCACTGAACAGAACTGTTTTCAGTCTCACTGTTTGAATTTCCACGTTATATGCTTTAATTTTGTGACTTGAACACCTATTTCTATGATGACAATATGTAATCTATGAACTAGTGATTTCCCTATTGTTTGTTTTTTTTGAAATTCTGTATAAGCAGTAACCTTTTTCTGTTTTTTTTTTCTTTTTCTCCTTAAATAAAATTAAAAAAAAAAAAGAAATGCTCTTCTGAGAATTCCATGATCCCAGGTCTTATGAATGAGAATCTCTGGAAGTGGATTGAGGATCTGCTTCCAAACAAGCTCCCCAGAGGATTCTGCTGAATAGCAAATTTAAAAACCCCTGCCATAGGGCATCTGTCCTGAAGGGAGCAGGAGGAAAATGGGGGAATTAATGCATGTTTAATGCATGCCTTTAACCAAGAACCTGTTGCTCTGTCCACTGTGTCCTCCCCTAGTGAATAGAATGGAGTCTTCACATGTCCATTTCTGAAGCTGGTGATTTGAGAAGGATAAGCTTCAGCTCGTGAGTTTCTCTCCTGATGTCATTAAGTGGTTTAAAACCTCAGAAGTTGTAAGATAAATCTAGTCATGAGGCCTAGCAAGAAGCTGAGAAACAAGTGCATGTTCCTAGGAACTGGGTAAACTGAGAATAAGTTCAGAGCAGACTAAATATTCTTCCTCAGTAGGATGTACATGTGCGTGTGAGTGTGCATGTATGTGTGTTTGTGTACACAAAGGCCCAGTACCTCTCTGTGTTCCTACTGAAATAATTTCTTATTCCTACTGGTCATCACCACTGGTCAGTGATGTTCATGACTTTAACCTCCAGCCTTAAGGAGATGAGGAATAGAGCCATATGGCCATGTAAATTAGCAGGCACATCACCAAATCCAGGTTGGATGTTCTGCCTCCTTATTCATGTTTTAGGAACCAGAATGTGTGTTTGTTTACTGTATGGAGTGTTTACCAGTCCTACTATTTCTCTCCAAAGTCAGTGATCATGTCCTCTCTTTTAGACAACACTTCTGCTTCCATCCATAAGTTATGTTGGAAGGACAACTATAAGTAGAAGACTTTGATTCTTTTCTGATTCAGTGCAGCATTCATACTGAAACTTACTAGAATATACTTGAAGATTTCCTATCAATCCCTAGTACAATATACTCACTGCAGGCATGAAAATT